ACACAGAAAATGGAAGGACAATACCGAAGTGTTTTTAGATTTTGTGATTACCTCCAGATGACAAGATTATGACTTTTGGCTCTTATTTTTCTACAGTGTGTGTTTCATTTTAAAGATTTTGTTTTTTTTTAAGTAACCTCCACATCCAATGTAGGACTCAAACTAACAACCCCAAGATCAAGAATCGCATGATCTACAGACTGAGCCAGCCAGGTGCCCCTATTTTTAAACCTTAAGTCATTGCCTGTGGACAATGTAAAGTAAATACACAGGCAAGACAAACTAGAAGGAGAAAGTACAGCACTCACATTCCTGTGACGAGATGCTTAGCTTCTCATTTGGAAGGATTTGCTGACAGAAGCTGAGTAACTCAAGAAACGAAAGGTGTGGTCAGAAGAGAGGCACTCTCAATGTTCTGCAAACTTACTGTGCTCAGGGACTCCTGATTTTCCTGTATTTCCTCAGAGCCCTGTATTCTAACTACTTCTAAAGGCTGTTGTGTTTTTGGGGTTTTTTTCTTTTTTAAGATTTTATTTATTTATTTGAGAGAAAGAGAGTGAGCGAGACAGAAAGAGCAGAAGTGGGGCGGGGGGGAGGCTGAGGCAGAGGGAGAAGCAGACTCCCCGCTGAGCAGGGAGCCCGATGTGGGGCTTGATGGTTAAGGCAGATGCTTAACCAACTGAGCCACCCAGGTGCCCCTAAAGGCCGTTTTTATCTAAAAACAGTAGTGTACTTCTTCACATTATTCTAAGTCATCAAATTCTTTATTTAAAAGAAATGAAAAATATTCACTGGACCCTAAAAAAGGGGAGTATTGAGAAATGTACAGAGTTCTTGAATCAGTATATTGTACACCTGAAATTAATATAACACTTTTACCTATACTGGAATTAAAATTAAAAAGTTATTCAATGGACCCTAAACTTCAATGTATTACAATCTATAATCTAAAATTATATTTTATATATATAAAATATATATTTAAATTATATATAAACATAAATATTAATTCATTACAATTATAATTTAATATATTTAAAATTATAAGCTACAAAACATTTATGATTCTTGGGTAAAATAGAAAACTAGTTTAAAAAATTTATATATACAAAAATTTATATAAACTTAAAGTACATTAAAAGTTTTTTTTCTTCTCAAGCCAGGGAATAAATGAAAAAACATCTAGAAATACTGCCTATCAATTTACTTATTGAACTGGTTCAGAAACATTTTCCAGGAAATGGGAAACCTCTCAATTTGACAGGAAAAAAAAAAAAAAATGAAAGGGAAGCTGAAAGAAGTATCATTTGGCGATGAGTACATGCTATTATGCAGCCCATGAACAGAAGTGGCTTACGTTATGAAATACCCCAAAATCCAAAAGCTCACAAGTTGAAAACATATTACTCAGTGGTACAGAACAACAATGTGGACCTTGAGCTGTACCACCCAACACAAGAGCCACCAGCCCCACGTGACTACCAAGCACTTGAAATGTGGTCAGCTGGAAATGTGCTGGTAAGTATAAAATACACACAAAACTCCAAAGACTTACTATGGGGGGAAAAAAAGCAAAATATCTCATCAATAATATTATACTGATTGTTTGAAATGATAATCTTTTTATATGTTAGGTTATAAAACACATTACTAAAATTAGTTGTACCTGCTTCCTTTTGTTTTAACTTAATCTAGCTACTAGAAAATCACACCTGTGACTCCCATTATAATTGTGCTGAATAGCACTGGTCTAAAGAAAGCAGATACCAGGAAAAAAGTTATGCAGAGTACACAACCATGGTAATCATGATCAGACTGCATCAAAAGAATATGTTCCAATACTTAAGATTTTTACAAAACACACACGCACATAACACAGGCACGGCCATGTACCCTAATCCAGCCATCAGAACAAACCCTGTATTACTGTTACACCGTCAGCTCGGCAGCCTGCACTCTGATAGAGGGAGCAGGTGCCATAACCTCATTTCTCACACTCACAGCCCTGGAAGGCAGGAGCGGCCAGATGTGAGAAAGGCCAAAGCAGAAATCCGACGCTAACAACAAGCACAAGCTGAAAGGTCCTCAGGGGGCCAGGGGCTCTTGCACTGGAAGCTCAGGACCAGCACAAGAAACCTAAATAAAACAAACAAGGTCCAACCAAGGGTCTCAAATCCAGAGGGGCTTTGTAACTACTGAATTGCAAGATCTGGTTTTGTATGACAAAGCTAAAACAAAATAATAACCTGTATTTTTGTAAAAAAAAAAAATATATATATATATATATATATATATATATATTAGAAGGAATGGGACAAATTTATTGATGAGACTTTTCCATACCAAACAGAAAGTAAGCCAAGGACTTAGGCAATTTATCAACAGCTGGCCTTAATCCAACACTAACACACTGATTTTATAACACATCCCACTGAAAAGGCCAGCACTCACCTAATGTGCTTGGAGTCCCTTCATAGTAACTGTTCCATAGTAACCGTCGTCCTTCCTTACCTTCTCATGCAAGCTCCCTGATCATCATCAGTGTTTACACAGGTTTTTGAAAGTACCCATTTTTTCCAGTAAATATTTAATTCTCTTGTTGCTACTGATCAAACTATCAACAATGAGCATTTTATATAACATGTTTAGTTATGAGAAAGTGGGACACTGACGTCAATAGCACAAAGTCTATAAACCAAAGACACCAGAATTACCAGACACAGCCTCTCGGAAATCAGCCACCAATAAAACACAGTTCCTCACAGCTCAAAGTCTTTAATCCAGTTTCCATCCGAGTCCCTCCACATCTACAGATCAACTTGTAAAATGTGCCTGCAATCAGACCTGGGCACATGGTCAGCAGGCTCCTGGCACTGGGCAGGGCTGGTGTTCTCTGCTAGGAATACCCAGACAGTGAACTATCACCTGTATGCTCCTGATTACATACTAACCGGCAAGCCTTCTCTTTTCTCAGCTCTGTAAACTTCCTATTTAGGATCTGTACTGGGGTGGGGGAGAGGGGGAGTTCAACTAACCATTTGGCTAGTTTCCTAAACTGCCACAAGTCTCAGCAGCATTGATGGAAATGGATTACACGTGAAGCCGTCTGCCATTTCAGCGGACTGGGACAAGGAGTGAATTATAGAGACATGATAATTATCAAGCTGGGCATGAACACTCGGAGAAAGGATCTCAAAAGGGCCTGAAATGGTCAGAGATGAATTTGGGGAAGTGGGACTTGGGGGGTCAGGCCTGGATAACAGAAAGTTCTGAGTGGTAGGCCACCATGGAGACCAAGGTGGGCAGAAGTATGGCAAGTCTCTAGGCCATGAAAACAGCTTAGCCACAGCATACAATGGGAGGAGGACGAAAACCCCTCGCAGGGTCAAAGGAGTCCAATGTAAATGCAACACAGTTTTATGAAACCTGAGTTCCTAGCCAGGTAAGGAGAACAGAAACAGTCCACCACTGAAAAATCTCAAGATGGAAGGTCAAGAACCTACTGTGTTAATCCAAGTGTAAGGATCTTGGCAACTGGGATGGCGGAAGGGACAGTGGGAAAAAGGGACAGAGGGAGTGATCTGAAAGAGGACAACAACAACAACAACAATCAAAGAGCTGGTGTCAAAGAGGACCTCTAAAAAAAAGAACAAGAGTATCTCCTTTAAATAAGGAAACGGGCTTGACAAGGCAAGGAATGAACAAAGTCTGGACATGCTGAATTTGATCTGGGGGGTGACAGTACAGCTGACAAGCGCCCACCGAAGACCAGATATCTGAGAGAGAAGCTCTGCGCGCGAACAGAGAAAGAGAGGCGCGAACTGAAATATAAAGACGGTAACTGAAACTCAGAGCTGAGAGACCATGTAGTTTGCAGGTACCCCCAGACAGAACCGCCTTCCCCTCACCTCCCTTGTGGTTAATAAATATTACTTTTAAGAATGGATTACATATAATTTGACACCAGCTTAAGAAAAAAAAAAAAAAACTGCACACAAAAAAAGTCAAAGAAATCCACAAATCTTCACAGTGGTGTCATTAGGTGGTAGGATCAAGGATCTTCCTCTTAAATTCTTGGAATTTCTGTGGGTTTTTTTTGTTGCTTTTGTTTGTTTTTTAAGCAGTAAGTATAGATTTTCTATTAGAAAATGAAAAATTTTTTTAAATGATCCCCTTTCAGCATTTGTGAAAGCTCTTATAATTGTGACTTTTACTGTTTGCAAATTAAAAGTAAAATAAAAGTACCACTGACATAACATTCTATACCTACCATACTGAGTAAGTTAGTTTTGACACGACAACCTGTTTGAGAGAATGTTTATTAATAGGAGTGTAAATTCTTGCAGCTTCCCTACAGGACAATCTGTCAAAATTTAAAAAACTAAAAAATCTTAAGCACTATACCCAACAAGTGTACTGCTAGAAACTTACTTATGGGTATTCTCCCTAAAATACATACAAAAAATTTCATTGCAGTATTGTTTGTAATAGCAAAAAATTTAAAATAACCAAAATGCCCATCAAGCTTTGGGATGAGAGAGGGTGGGGGACCGGGAATGCAATGTAATAATATTAGTAATAATGCGGAATGCTTGAAAAAGAGAGAAGAGGTCTTCAATCTTTACCCCCAGGGTTCAGACCTGGGACCCCAGACAAGGAGCCTCAATTGGCAATCAGTACTCAAATTTTTACTGATAAAAAAAGTCGAAAGTATATAAAGGAAAATGAAAATATTTACTTCCTACCTTATTATTACCTGTAAATGGCAAGACTTTACCTATTTTCTACTTTAATCTGCTTACAAGGAATTTGGCCTAAGGCAGTCCATTACCTTATCATTAGCATTAATGGAACAATTAATTATTCCCAGGATTGCATTTAGACTGTTGGTGACAGGTGCAAAGGACAAGGTCAAGCACAAATGAATTCTAACACTAAAGGGCTGTCAGCACAACTGCACGGTGAAATGCAGAACGAAAAAGACTGGGTTTCAGACGCACCTAAATGCCACGCCGTGGACCTGTCCATATGCTTGCCGTTACAAGCCGCTGAGCTACATTTCCTCGTGCTGCTGAGGTCCAAGCTCGAAACCACAGGGGGATCCCGGTTAGCAGAGTCAAGACCTAGCTAGAGAAAAACAGATGGTAAATAAAAATGGAGTAATAATGAACCTACCAGGAGGCACTCCACATGAACAGAGGAGCCTACTTCTCACTCAGCTGTGCCCAACCCTAGAACTTGCTCTGTAACGACTTCATTCTTGAGGAGCATCTAGGAGGCCCCAGCCAGCCCCTGGGCAGAATCACACATGGCACCCTCATTCCCTTCAAAATCGGCTCTTAATCTGCACTGAATATTTTGGAAGATGGTATTTTAGAATACCTGGGAAAAGCAATTTTGTACTTAACTGGGGTTTCTTCCTTGATAATCTTTTAAACTCCATATTCCCTAGCGTAAGACCTCAATTTACCCCCCCCAAAATTTAAAGATTTTATTTATTTGACAGAGAGAGAGAGAGAGAGAGAGCACAAGCAGGGGGACTGGCAGGCAGAGGGAGAAGCAGACTCCCCGCTGAGCAGGAAGCCCAATGCGGGACCCAATCCCAGGACCCCAGGACCATGACCTGAGACGAAGGCAGACGCCCAACCAACTGAGCCACCCAGGTGCCAAAAAAAAAAAAAATCTTTTTACATACTTCTCTAGTGCTCACTACGTGCCAGGCACTGTACTAAATACCTCTTAAAAATTTTTTAGGATTTTATTTGAGAGAGAGAGCAAGGTCAAAGAGCAGGAGAGAAGCAGTCGGGGAGGGAGAGAGACAAGAAGATTCCACCGAGCACAGAGCCCCACGTACAGCTCGATCCCACAACCCTGAGCCATGACCTGAGCCGAAACCAAGAGTCAGATGCTCAACTGACTGAGCCACCCAGAAGCCCCATTACCTGTTAAAATTAATAAAGGGAAACGTCACTAATGTGGAGTGAAGAAAGTAGGGGAGGCTATAAGGGGAAGCCAGAGGGGGAGCGAGTCCACTCAATTACAGGAAGAATTGTCAATTATAGATCCTAACAGGAGAATCTCAATAGGAAACAATCATCAATGATAGGCCCCAAAAGGGAAAGATGTACATTGCAGCTCCTACAAGAAATCTGCTACCCTTGCCAACTCAGCCAATGACAAGCCACCATCACCCTGAACTAGTGTCTTCTTCCAATAGGCTTTGCCTCAAAGCCACCCCTCCCAACTTCTTCCTTCTCCATAAAATCACCTTCCTCTCTGTTGGACTTGCCTATGGTTTGGCCATGGCTTAATGCCCCAAATAAACTCATTTTTGCTGGTAAAAACTTATTTTTAAGGTTAACATTATTTGGTGATTAGAAGTGGGATCCAGAAGACTGCCAACAACTCCAAGGCTGGTGAGCAAATAGGTACCCATACCCACAGAGCTACCTGAGCTCACTGCTTTCTCATCAAACCTAGAATTTGAAGGTAATTTTTCTCCTGGATTTTGGGCTCTGTGTTTTATTTAAGCTCTCCAAGAATTATTTGGGATCTGTTTTAAGGCTTTGTCCTTTATAAGAAGCTCATTTGGCCTTTGGTCCAACTCCTATTATGAACCAGGCTACTCCTATTGAAACTGTGCTAGCCTTTCACCCAACTTCCTGGGAACAAGGCTGTGCCTACTGGAACAGAGCTGGCCTTTGCTCGGATTCCTTTTAGAACCAGGCTGTTCATACTGTTTAGGAATTTTTCTTTCTTGCTCTAGAAAAAAAACAAAACCCTAAGAAATGAGATCCCAGTCATCAAAATGTTTTGAAGGTGCCCCCACTTCTGGGACCCTAGCCAGGTTTATGTCTGTGGTCCCTCTTCATGCACAAAGTAACTTAGACCTCCAATGGCCATTACAGGGAATGTGCCATATCCCCAAACTTACTCTTCTCAAAAATTAATTGGACAGCCATGGCTCTAAAATTGTCAAAACTGAATGGGATGCCTACTTTGGGATTTTGAAGCTTTTCAAACATTATCAGGAATCTAACATTGCCTGTCTGCAAAGTACAATTTCTAGACTAACGGAGGCAAACAAAGGGAGAAAAGGGCTTCTGAGGCCTTTTTCCTTCCTGTCTTCTATGTCTCAGGATGTGCAGCAGCTGTCTTGCGTTCAGTCCCGAACTTCCCTTTTCCTCTGAAACTCTCCCCACTCCCTCCTTTCCTGAACGTAATAAAAACTGCCCCTTTAAAGTTAAGTCTTCTGAGGATCCAAATAAACCCCAAATCTCTTATGTTCCCTGGACCAAGGCCAGACTGTGAGCCAGAGTTGAAGAGTTTCCTAAAGTGACTCAGAACTCACAATTACTAAAGAATTTAACATAGTTATTCTAACTTACCACCCCCGGTTTCTCAGATTTGTATCAGTCAGGCCATGTGCTTGTTGGTGAGGACCAGGCCAAATGCTGGATGAAACTAGCCCCATGAGAACATCCTAAAAGATTTAGAGACACAAACCCCTAAAACTTTGGCAAGATTCTAGAACGCTCACTGGAAATCTCCACCGGGCAGTTACAGTAGCTTTTCCTAAGCCTGCTGATTGGAACAAAATTCAGGCTTGCCCACAAAATCCTGATGAACCTGGTCATAACTCCTATAACCAACTCCAAACCGTCTTTAAAGATTCTGGGCTTCCGTAAGAGGCTGAATCCACCTGGGTAGCCTTTAACTCTACATTTACTAACAGGCAGAACCAGGATCTTTTAGTTGAAGGACCAGCATGGAATGGGAAACTCAGTCCACTCCAGAGTTCGCTAGCTTGGCAAACCAGCTCACTCACACCCAGCAGGGTCACCTGAAAGAAAGAACTAAAATTCTCAATTTTCAGCTCTGGCAAATGAAGGCCCCTAAACAGACCCAAACCCCCCGGTTTCTGTTATTGGTGCAAAGGGCCTGGGCACTGGAAAAAAGACTGTTACACACTTAAGCATTCCAGAAGCCTTCAGCCCTCTAGCCAGCCTTTCCAGGGTCCTCCTAATTCCCAGTGATGGGGCTCCAATGACCGACAGGGACTCTTCCCAGTCCCCCCTCTTAATTGGCTTGGAGAAACCACTCTCCAGACTGAGAATCAATCTCTTTGTCTTACTGACCCCAGAGCTACATTCTCGGAGCTCAGCACCACTCCTGGAAAGCAGGCCCTGCAGGAGTCAGAACATGAAAACAGCTCCAATAGTGGGGGGTCTCTCATAAACCTCAACAGGTTCCTGTCTCTGCCCCTATTCCCTTTGGTTTAGGCCCTTTGAGAGATTCCCACCCTTTTCTTAGTTTCTCTACCCCATTCATTGACTGGGCCAAGATTTCTTAGAAAAGTATCATGCCAGAATTTCTCCCAAAAGAAGGAAGTCATTCTAGAATCAAAATCGCCAACCAGGTGGATTCAATGACCCTTCAACATCTTCTATTTGCTCCATCTCTGATGGCACGATGGGGGAGTCTGGGGACGCTGCTCATTTGTCCCCATCGGGTCAGCTACCACCCTCTTTATGGGCAGATTCCTCAACTGATATTGGCAGAATTCACAGCGCGCCTCCCATCAAGATTCAAACCGATCCCTCACCACCTCTCCCCAGAACGAATACGCTATAAATAAAGAAGCCCTTTAAAGGCATCAAGCCCGTAATAGGAGACCACGGGACTCAGGGCCTTATCATCCCCTGCACTAGTCCCTGGGAGCCCCTATTTTACCTGTGAGAAGACCCAGTGGAGCCAAGGATGGAGGTTAGTCCAGGACCTCGGAGCAATAAGTAACATTATCCCTGGGCGCCCTATTGTTCCTAACCCCCATACACCGACACTGAAAGCAAATCCTTCTCCACTGTAATTGTTCTATATAGTGCACTTTTGGTATTCCAGTTCATAAGGATAGTCCGTAACTTCTTGCTTTCACTTGGGAAGAACAGTAATAAACCTGGACAATAATGTCCCAGGTTACTCTTTACAAACCTTAAAAGCTGATATGGAGGATATAAAGTTTTCTGCAGGCTCCTGTTGGTTACAATATGTGTATGTTCTGCTTCTCTTCTCCCTTTCTCAAACCTCTTCACAGGAGACAGCATTCACCTGCTAAAACTTTTGGCCTTAAAAGGACATAAAGTTTTCAAGGAAAAATTGCAGCTTGCACAAACTCAGGTTCATCTTAGGGCACCTGATCTCAGAACAAGGACTACATTTAGATGCAGGTAGGTTTCATGGCATCCTGAACCTCCCAAAACTTAAAACTAAGCGCCAATTATGAAGTTTTCTTGGACTGTCTACTGTCAAAACTGAGATTCCAAACTTCTCTCTTACAGCTCAACCATTGTATGCTTCACTTAAAAATGACAAGCCTGACCCTGTCATTCAGAAAGATCGAGAAGACCAAGCTTTGGAGACTTTAAAGAAAAGCCTAATAAAGCCTCCTGCCCTCGCACATCCTAATTATCAACTTTCCTTTTCCTCGCTGTTTGTGAGAAGGAAGAAAATGCCTGGAGTACTTGCTTGCCCCAAAATATGGGGGACCATCACTGACCCATCAGGTAGGAGAGCCAACCACTGGAGCCTGTGGCCAGGGATGTCCCTTCTGCCCCCACCTCTGGGCTATTCCTGTCACTGCCCTTCTGGTTAAGGCCCGTGAAGAAAGAGTCACAGGACTCCCTCTAACCAAGCTTGTGCTGCATGCAGCAGAAGCCCCCCACAAATTCTCACCACATTCAACACCTCAGTCAGCTGCCTCCCCTCCTAGGAGATCCCCCTGCTAACTGCTCCTCACAGAACTCCTTCTCACTGCAATAACCTTAATTAAGCCGCTATTCTTCTCTCCTTCACGGAGACCACTCACAACTGCTTAAGACTGACAGATCACCTCCTGACTCCCTGTGACAACTCCTAGGAAACTCCTCTAACCAAGGCAGATTTTTCATGTTTTACTGATGGTGCTTATTTAAAGGATGAAAATGACAAATATTGTGCTGGGAATGCCAGTGCAGCTCCTTTGGAAGTGACTGAGGCAGCACTTCTATACCTTTAGCTACTTGAGCCCAA